CCCCCCCCCCCCCCCCCCCCCCCCCCCACCCACTCGCTTTCGTTTATCGATCTCTTTACAAAGAGAAAGGAAAAAACCATGCACCCAACTTTGATCCTAGGTGCTAAAGAAAAAATATCTCCCATTAGTGTAACTTCAAGTCATTTTTAGTTGCTATGCGATCTACATCTTCAGGAAGGAAGCATTTGAAAATTTCAAAACTTTATGAGCACGTATTGAAAGTTAATTTATTTTCAATGAATAGTTTGTGTTTTCTCCTCGTAATACAATTTTAAAATGAAAATTATCTAACCTTTGTCGCCAATGATTTATTATCGTTAATTAAAAATTGATTTTCACGTTGTATATAACGATAATTTTCAATACTTTCACCTGATAATTGATGTAATTCTGATAATTCCTTTGATGAGACAAAAAAACAAAAAAGTAATTTTAACAAGATCTTTTAATTTTTGTTTCATAATTTACTTTTCTTGCTTCATTTAATTCACTTGTTAATTTAGCAATAACTTCAAAAGATGCTTCATAATCTTGTTTTTGTCGTCGAAGTATAGGCGATGCTTCTTTAATCATCTAAATAAATAACAAAATAAGAACTTAGTTTTCTCTAAAACATAAAGTTTTTAAATATTAACTGATGAAAGTTGTTCATAACCAAATCGAAAACGTTCTTTGCCTGTTAATTCTAATACAAGTGCACTTTTTAATTGACGACATTCTGAACAATTCTAATAAAAATAAATACAATAAACATATAAATATATATATATATTCATGCTTTTTTTCCTATTACCGTTATTGATGTTGGAGTCGATGCTGAATCACTTGAACGAATATGACTGAGTGTACCATCAAGAAAATTTGTCAACTGAGTAAGATCAGCACCTATATGTATGAAATTATAAATAGAAAAACTGTTAATATGATCCATATAAGATTAAAGTGTGAAACACGATAAAATTACTAGCACTATTTATATTCGTTCTATTTTGGACGGCACTTCTTCATATTTGGAAGCGAATAGATCGGGAGAATGGGCTGAAAATATGAGCGCGAAAGTTTTCAACTGATGAACTAGCTCTAAATATTGAGTTCACGCTTTCTCATCATTCGACGAGGATTTCGGATCATTCTGAATGAATTTATCATGTTCATGAAACATTAGAAACTCTTCTGATCTCAATGATTTTTTTTGCCTATAGTTGCTACATAGTGTTCTAAGAAATATTCTAAAAGATTTTTTAATTCCTATTGAAATTTGACTGAGCTAGCGCATTTTTGTCTGAAACTTTGTGCATCTCAATTAGACTATCATCCATGAAAAATTCAATAGTTTTGAACAAGATATGAGACTTAATTCAACATTTTACAATTTTTATATGGAAGCTGATCTAATTGAGTTTTTCATATGCACAAAATTTCAAACAAAAATGCAATAGGTCATTCAAACCTCAATCGGTCTCCAAGTTCTTTTAGAAATTTTATTGGAACACTATGTAGTATTTATTGGTAAAAAATGAATCATCATTGAAATCGGAAGAAGATATCTGATGAGATTTCCTTGCTAGTTATGCAGAAATACAATATATTATAAAGAAATGTTATTGGCATACGGCCTTCAATCGTCATATGCTTGAACATTCGTTTTAGATTGTGTTTTACAAAAATAATTAAATACCTTTACTACGAATTGATTCGAGCAATTGTGTTGTATTATCCAATTCATCTTGTAATCGACGAATTGTTTGTTCTAAATAAATGAAAATACAAAAAATAATTTTCTCTCTGTCTTCGTATAAAGTCAGACGAAAAATTTTTAATAATAAATTAACATTAGACTTTATTCTCGTTATAGAAAATATATTGTTCTGTTCTATTGATATTCAAAAATGTCATTCATACAAATATAAATAAAATTTGATCTGTTATTAAAAAAGATAATATTTTTTCTTTCATCTAATAATTTATACATTCAAAGAAAGATCAATGTTTTTGATGAAATACATTGTTCTCGAATAGAAAGATTGCCTAAGTTGTTTTATGAAATGATATCATCAAGTAATAAATCATAGTTTTTAACCTTATCTAATCGACTATGTTTCATAATCGTTTAACAATTCAAGCTGATGTCATGTGCTATCATCAATCATATGCATAACTATTTTTTTGTAGATCTTCAGATTTCATTTCTTTTTATTAACTAACACATTTATACAGACTTGATTTATTATTATAGTGAAGTTCGTATGTCCCTCAAACAAATAATATCAGCGTGAGTGAAAAAAAATATAATCCAAACACATATCAATCCATTCAAAGGCAGTAGAGGTCATCGGGTCCAAAAATTTTTGAACTCGGACCCGCTAGAGAATTGTTTGAACTTAAAGCTCAGCGGTCAATTTTTTATGGGTTCGGATTTGAACCGAACTCGTAAAACTGTGTTCAATTTTCTAGCATAAATCTGATTGTTGCTCGAGGATATGTTATACGTTTGATTTGTTTTTTCTTGTTTCATGGATAGCATTGTCTACATTTTTTTTAAACAGTCAAATACCGCAGCCATAGGAAGAAAATTACAATTGGTTCTCATCTCACGTCAATAGCTTCTGATGGAAGAAACAATGCGTATAAAACAAGTGATGATCATGTCTATTGTTTGAATATTATTGAAAGTATAGACAATAGTAAAGAACCAGATAATATTTGACCTCATTTATAGATTTATGATTGCAACTATGTTTACGTATTATAGTCAAGAAGAAATTTATTGTTTTGTTTTTCTATTTTTTCAGTATACATTCAATATTTTTGGAGTAAGATGAACAAAAATTTAAAGAAATTTCAAAAAAATTTCTAATCCGAATCTAAGTTTTTTTCAATGCGGAACTGACCAATAATAATCTTCAGACTCGGATCCGGGCCCGACGGACTGTAAAAGTCAGCCATCGATATAATTCATTAATCGAAGAAATAACACAAAAAAAGAAATCGTCGTATACTAACGAGGGAACCGTCCGAAGTGATTAACCATTTTTGAGCTCATACTTTGGGGATATAGAGGGTACCTCTAGACTAGAATAAACCTAAAAGGTTTCGTGCCCATGGTCCTTCTTTCCTGAGATATTGAATTTTCAAGTTTTAGAGCAGTATAGCGATTTTGACTCAATATTGCAGTCATCGACCAAGCGAAAAGGTAAAAAGAACTGAAAGTTTTATGATGAACTAATCACATCATCAACAAATAAACTTCATATTTTTAGATTCTTATCTCATCTTTGTCATGGATATTAATTTTTCTCATAAACACAAATACCATCTACATATCAGATCGATGTGTGAGAGGCGTGGAAAGAAATGCATATTACACATATGTTATCACGTCCTCTTAAGGACTATAATAACGACTGTTTTATACCCACTATGGTGAATAAGAACGCGTTATAATATTCCTCGTGAGAGTGAAGTATTTTTTATCTAGTAGTTTGTTCTTAACTTTGATGTTTGGTCGAAACCATGATTGATCCTGCAAAAGTCGCAAAACTGTTAGTTGATCAAGTCACTGAACGACAAGCGCCTGATCGTCGAAGATCTAGAGCAAATCCACACGAAGAAGAAGTCGCCAGTTATCTACTGAAAGTAATTGACAATTTTTGCAATTGTGCCTCCTACAAGGTTGAATTAGAAACGACTCTCGATCACGATGATGATGAAGCATTTACTGATTCAGAAGATGAAAGTCTCGATCTCGACTTTGACGAGTGTGAAAAAGATGACAAATTGCCGAGTAAAGAGAATTTCAGTCTGGACTTCATGAAAAAAGTTATTGACTTTTACAATAGCCGTGATTCGACGGGAAGAAAAAGGCATACATGAAAGTCTACAAAACATCGATTCAGATCTGTTCCTCATCAACAGTATATTACTCGTTTTCGCCATTACATTGAACAGCATGGTACAAAACGAGAGAAGCTACAGATTATCGACGATTTTATCTATAACAAGTTCGAAGAAGCTCGAGAGCGTGTTCTTTCTGTCCACGATCATGATTTGAGGCAATGGGCACTTCAGTAATCTGCTGAAGATCCACTTCTTAATTTTCAAGCATTCGAACACTGGTTGCGGGTCTTTAAACATTGTCACCGTATTTGTTCGAGAAAGATTACAAAACTAGTGACTCGTCATCAGGTAGATGATTCAGCCGCTATCACTGCCGCTGCTAATTCGTTTTTGGTAGATGTGAAGCACGAGATGAATCACTATGTACCTGAAGAAATCCTCAATACTGATCAGATTGGTCTTGAACTTGAAATGCACTCGACTCGAACTCTCTCGCATCAGGGCGAAAACGTTACTTTGGCTCGAGTAACATCAAAAAGCTCTACAAGAGATTCTTACACTATTCAACCGATGATATCTCTTGCTGGACAACTTGTTGATACCGTCTACCTTTGCTTGAAAGAATCGAAGGGAAATATGAGCGACAGTAATTTAATTGGCTACGTTTTTCTTCTTGTTGTCTAGTGATATCTCGCTTTTTAGATATTAAAAGTAAACTGTTCTTTGCCTCAAACGTCGTGGTGACATACAATTCTTCTGAGAAGCTGGCTGCCTCGTTGACCGAATATTGGCGAGATCATGTTCTTCGTCCATTCGTCCCAAGCAAATCTCTTCTACTCTCGGACTATTGGTCTGCTCAACGGCAGTCAGATATCTATTCTGCTGTCAAAGGATGTAAAAGACTCGAAATACCTGCTCATACTACGTCTCGTATCCAACCGCTAGATGTCTATTCTAATAGACAATGGAAAGTGATCGCTTGACGCATTTTCGACCACGTTCAGCTCGATGATATTGCTATCAACTTGTCTGAACGAAGCAATATAATCCGCTTGAATTCTCTTAATCACAACCAGTTGTCCTCGCCTCTGTTAGTTCCTATGATCAAGTACGCACGGTTTGAATCAGGCTATCTTGATCACAATCCGGAAGATTTAGAGTCGGTTAATGAAGTTTACTTCAATATCGATGCTACTGTTTGTCAGCTTTCAACTTGTCGCTTGTCACATTTTATTCAATGCAGTCATTGTCGCAAAGTATTCTGCTTCGAACATTTTTTTTGAAGCTTATCACTTCCACAGATAGCTGTATGCTGTTCGCTGCTATGAACTCATAATTTTAAGTGAGATTATTAGTGTATACGTATATAAAGACTCACTACATCATATCTAGTACTCATAAGGAAAATTGATGTGAATGACAAAGATGAGATAAGAGTCTGAAAATATGTAGTTTATTTGTTGATGATGTGATTAATTCATCATAAAACTTTCAGTTCTTATTACCTTTTTGTTTGGTCGATGGCTGCAATATTGAGTCAAAACCGTTATACTGCTCTAAAACTTGAAAATTCAATATCTCAGGAAGGAAGTACCATGGGCACAAATCCTTTTAGGTTTGTTCTAGTCTAGAGGTACCCTCTATATCTCCAAAGTATGAGCTCAAAAATGGTTAATCACTTCGGACGGTTCCCTCGTAAGAAAAAATAACTTTTTCGCACAATCGACATTTGTTCATATAAAATTTTCTCTATTTTGAAAGCTAAATATATATATCGGCAAAAAATCGTAACGCGTTACCTCTAATACCGGAAAATTAAAAAAAACGAGTTGTAATATCAATACTTTCGTTCTATAGGGCATAGCATCTTTTAGAATCATTTTATTTTTTTGTTGGATACTCCGTACTGTCGGCTACAAAGTCCTTATTGATCGGTTTTTTCAATGTAGTGCGAATCCAGAGAAAAACAACAAACAAACACGTCACCCGCAATTGTTTTGTCCAATTTTCATCATTGCGTTTCGCTCAGTATTTTTGCTAGAATTTTCAGACGACTAAGCCAAACAGACTCGGATTTTCAGGAATTGCGACAAGGTAGAGAGACGCATCATTTGATGAAAGAATCAAATTTCTAAACAGTCTAGTCTCTAAGAAAAATGGAAAAAACTGTGGACAAAACGTCATCGCGTCACGCGTGTGAAAGCCAATATATGAAATAAGCTTTGTATTATAGATTGTAGAGCTTTTCACACTTATATCTTGTAGTATATTTTGTTTTTTAATAAAACATATTAGATGATAAAAAAAAATAAAATACGACCATATATTCCAGCTGATAGGTTATATTTTTTCAATTATCTCAATGTATAACAAGCATTTGATAACGTCTTGTCACATATCAAGGTTATAACCGTAAATATAAATGAAAATTGTATGATTGAGTCAATAACAAAAATTATATATTAGCGACAGTAATTGTCGTACACCTTAATGAAGCAAGTCAAATAATAATCTTTCGTTCTCTCACACATACGAATTAATATAGCACTTTAATCTAAATAATCAATCAGCTATATAATACTAATTTCAATTAGAAATTTTCACCGTTACACATTTTTACATACAGATAAAATCAAAGTGTAAAATTGATGTTAAAAAAACATTTCTCGAATCAAATGTCGTGTTTTTGTGTGATTTGCAGTATTTAAATTGTTGATAAGCATCATATATATATATATATATGATGGTTTATTTTTAATATGCAATCTTCAATTCAATAATCTGATACTTTTCTTATTTATCTGTCATCTAATTTCTAAAAAAATGTACTGATAAAACATATATATATGACATTTATAAACAAAATATTGCTTAATAATAGCATAAAAAGTATGCATATGAAAAATATCAAAGTTCCGTGAAAATGATATTATAGTACGAATCAAAGAAAATATTACTCAAAAGATTGAATAAATAATATATCTGAAATGATTCGATCACAAGAAAAAATATTCAACAGTTATAAGAGTATAATCTACTTCTCATCGTGCTCTTGTTAATATTCCTACTTAATAAATACATCAATTTTGATAATTCTATTTTTTTTTTATTTCAAATCAATCAAATATGTTTTTATTGCAGCTTTCATATTTGTTTTATGTTACGATATGTTGTCGTGGAATAACAAATAAAGATAAACAAAATATACTACACTTAGAATTTAAATTTAATGATAAATTTTGCCATAGATAATATTAATCATCATTGTATATTTCAAAGCACTTCGATTAAGATTGTATGTTTTTATATATAGAGGAGTAAGTTTTGATCGTACAATAAAATCTCAGTTATTAAATTCAATATTTAAATTTTCACTATTTGCCTTAAATAATAACATCAATACATTTCGTTTGTCATATATCTGTGTAATTTTCTGTTGTCAGATAGAGACGTACACGTAACTGAAGATTGTATTATAGTCGAAAGAGGCTGTAAATCAAAATACCTTGAACGATTAGAACAAAGTCATTTTCTTTGTTGTAAACGAAAGAAAATTTCGTATGAATTCATAAAACAAATATCTATTCATAAAATTAGTTCGTTTGGTTCTTATTAACTAACAATTAGTAGATATTTATCTTCATTTGAAAAAAGATAATTGTCTAAACTATTAGTTATTCTATTAACTACATAATACTGAAACACAAAAAACCAATGACAAAGTTTTATATTAAAAGAGATCTCTAAAGACACAAAAATATTTGTCAATTACAAAATAAATCTTATTGATAATTAATTCTATTTTATATAAGTCAATGCCTTGATCAAGAAACTTTTACGATATACTTTCGTAAAACTTAGTTTTTCAAATTTAATATGCAAAGGAAAAAGTTTTCTTTTTCTATTTTGATTGAATTCAAATAAATTACATTGCAATAAAATAATTTGTTTTCTTTTGATATTAGTATTATTTTTTACAGTAAAATTTCCAACTTATAAAATGCTAATTACGATTGACTGCTATTTCGTGATATGTTATTTTGTGCTTGAGTTTGATAATAATTTGATTGATGGGCGAACAAATCATCTTAAAATTTGTCAGAAATTAATTGAAAATCACTGATTGAAAACAGTAATATTCATTTTTATTGACTAATATGAATAAAGCAGCAAAACTATTTCTATTTTACGGATGAAATCATTTTGAAGTATAATATTTTTTTTGCGCATTATTTTTTCAATTTCGCTATTTCAATTAGAATTTTTCTAAGCAAAGAAAAAAAAAAACGACAAATATCATATCTAATTTTCTTTTTCAATAACGTATTTAAAATTTTCGATTGATATTCCGTTTAATTGTACACAGATAACAGATACAAAAGAATCTTTATTCATCCTGTCAGTATCCAGAATAAATAATAGAACTATATACTTTCTATTCTTATGAAAAATTATTTTTGTCAATTTACTCATTAAAAATCTATATTAGTTTGGTGCAATATGATCTAAAAGGAGTACTGAAATATAGAAGTAGAAATTCAAACATCTCACAAGGACATTTTACTAATGCCTTTCCTTCATTACAGAGCGTGACAGACATTCGACAATAGACCGTATATCAATAATGATCCGTTATTATATATGAATTATTTATTGGATAAAATAAAAGGATGGTGAAGAAATATATATGAAAACTGATCAAATAAAACAATCTACGTGTGATTAGCAACAGCAAATTTCATATTTTAATCCTACAGGAATTGATCTAACTGATTTTTCATATTAATTTGAAAAATTTGTTTAAGGAAAAAAACGCATATGTTTACGTCAATTTCTTTTTGATAAGATTTTAAAGTATATATAGTTTTTTCATTGGATCTATTTGTTAAAAAAATTTCGAGTTTTATGAATGATCAAATTTTTTTGCGCAACAATGTATAGAATATTGATCTATCTGTACTTCTATGTCATATTGTTAGGTACAACAAGCAAGACTTACTTGCTTTTCTTTTGAAAATTACTATAAACATAGATATTATCTTCACATTAGCTTTTTTTTATATCATAGTACTTGACTCATGTTAATTAATTCTTCTCTGAGTAAATAATTTCGTAATATAAACTTCTCTACTAACAAAACACAAAATTTCATTTTTTTTGGTTAATAAAATTTACGAAATCCTTGATGGACATACAAAGTCGATTGAATACATATTTTATATTATTCATTAAGGTAGAAAGTGTACTGTTTAACGGTAGCTAGTTACGAGACAGCCAAGGTTTTGTATATTCATAATGAAAATAGCCATCAAAAATATCATTACAAATTTTGATGATGACAACGTAAGTTTACATATGGTTAAACGGCAGAATAACTGCCCTAACTAACTTCAAATATTGTACACTATCCAATGATGGCTAGCCATCACACTTTTTTCCACTATCAATACAAGAAAATCGTTATTTCTAATATCAATAGCGCTCGGTACAAACGTTATCTCTTAAGATAGGAACAATGATTGTGTATATCAATTTATTTATTTCGCAATTAAAGTTTGCTTATCAAGTAGATTGATATCGATGATATTTCGTTAATATTGATTATAAAAATTGTCCACTAATGTTAACAGAGGAGAACAAAATTTATTTTACTAATTAACTTAATTTGTTCAAGATCGTAAGCGACAAACAACTGATTTTATGACTTCAAATTGAAGTCGAAGAAAAAAGACAAAGAAAAACTTTAACAGATTCTGATAAATTAGTCTATTTATTTATTGAAATCATTTCTATACCTAAGCAGTTACATGTTTTAGTGTGCATATGGAACAATCTAAACTTAGCAGTGTTAGGATAGATCTTACTGGTAAACATCAATTTCATCTTGTTCAGAAATGTATAAAAGACATTATCTTACGAATATGTTCGATAAACTCTAGACAAAATTTCATGATTGATAAATCCTTGAAAATATTTATGTTTTCAAGAAATTTTTTGTTTTGGTATCGATAGATGAACAACATTTTATTTGAATGATACCGATATATAAACTGCAGATAAATTATTTCATTTATTTTAGTCATCTAAATTCACAAGTAGAGACAAATTAATAATCATTTTAGTCAAAAAAAGAAAAAATAAAGATTCTACACTTAGAATAAAGACAACGACCATCAAAATTAATTATGACTATTAATTGGACTCGATGATTCTGTTGTTTTTCTTTATATTTTTCATGGTTACATACGGTAAAGTCGGTAGTCGCAATTGGCAACCATAAATAAAAGATAAATGTATTGATGTGCGTGATATTGCTATCAACAAACTTTTAGAAAAAAAAATGTTTTTTTCACGCACATCAAGAGTCAAACCTGAATAGATGTATATTCATGGCTCTGACTTTAACCTCCGCTTCGTTCTGGTCTTGCAATGCTTTTTAAGCATGAAATGAACGAACGAAAGAAAAAAAAAAACATCACCTATATAAATAGGCTGATTTCTTTTAATTGCAGTCATAATCGTCTCGTGTAGGAAGTCACACATTCTGTCATTTTACACAGTTACAATGTACTCAGCACCGAGTAGTGGCGGATCAGCAGCAAAAACTTCACTACCAGTTATTGGAACTATATGTTGTGGAGCTCTTCTTTTGTTTTTGCTTGCTGCTACCATTGTGCTAGCCCTTATACCCATTTATACAGCAACAAAATCGGCTGCATTAAATAGTAGTAAGTTATTCATTTATATTTTTTTTTGTTAAATACTATTTAATAATAATATACCATTGTAGATGCTTTAAAAAGCAATGAGATCACAATGTATCTCCAGAGTAGTAGTATTAACAGCGGTCGACGAAGAAGACAGAGTTCACCAATCAGCGCATTAATAAACTGTATGGGTGGTACATTTGGACCATCCGGCATAGCAATGCTTGAAAGTGGTGTATGTCTTTTTTAATACTTTTTATATTCAGAAATTGAAAGATGTCAGCAAAAATTTGAGCATAGCTCTATCTTCGACAGAGATATAGCCATCGAATTTATCTTTCTTTATCTCTCATCAGTCATTTTTTCAATTCATAAAACATATGATATCTTTCATTTAACTATTTCTTCTACGAATTTGTCTAAACAATAAATATCATTTTTCTTCAAAATGAGATCAATATATTTTCTTTTGTTTTATACATATATATATATATATATATCAATATTAATCTGTTTATTCTATTTTAGATACATAGAGCTTGCAGCTCAAACAAGAAATTCGCTGATGTAACAGTATCAAGTGTTACTGTTGCAGCGGAAGGTAATAGTCGACGAAAACGTTTGTAAGTTACAAATGTATTGTTAAAAATCAATTCTTCAACAAACAAAATCTTTCTAGTTCACTTACAAAACGTCAAGATGGAAAATTTATGTTCGTCGTCAAGTTGTTCATCTACTTTACAAAGACATGCGCCCTCTATCAATGTCAAGTCTCTAATGGAGCTTTACTAAAATCTCTATTGTTAACCAATTTAGCATCATCTGTGTCTCTTACTGATGTTCCAATACTTAATTCAAGTGGAGGATTGTGCGCAACTATATCTTACATTCCTATTTTAGGAGTTTTAATTCCCGGTGGCATAGGTAAGATGATTACATTTTTCATCACTAATATTTTGCTTCTTTTCTTAGGTCCTTCTGGATTTCCATTCGCTGTGATAGATGCACGTCCAACAATTGCTGTATTAACGTCCACTAGTACAACAACGACCTCAACAGCATCACAGAATATTGGCTAAAATTCTTTATCACTTACCACTTTCCATTGACTGTTTATCGAACGTTTCGGATAACGATCGCATTTCTGTTTTAATCACATCTCGTTCTATATTAACAAAGATAACATTTATTTTATACTAAAACAAAAATAATCGAAAAGACAATACTAACCTGCAGTAATCTTAACTAACAATTGATTTTGCTCATCATATTTTTCATTGATTGAAATATTTTTTTTTAATAATTCATCGATTTGATTCTATTTAAATGAAAAAATTTCAGTTCGTTTTTATTTCTTTTGACTATTAAACAAGACTATCAAATATACTTTTAATGATTGAATAGTTTTATTAGATGTTATTTGTTGATTTTCCATTTGACGTATATTTCGTTGAAGATCAATTTGAAACTAAATAATATATACAAGAATAGATATCATAAAATTGAAAAATTTTTATATTTTGTACTTGTTCTATGCGTTGTGTTTTTTCACGTAATTGTCGATCAAGATTGAGTATAGCTTCATTTTTGTCATCAACACCAATATCCAATGAACGTTTCTTTACAAAAAACAAAAATTCAAATAAATTTCAGTTATTTTCGTTTTTGTTTAAAAAAAAAGTGATATACTTGAGCTTGTAATTGTCCTTCAGTTGATTCTAATTGTATAGTCAATTGCATAATTTTTGTTTGTTGATCAATAGACAATTTTTTGCATTCAATTAATGATTGTTCTAATGTTTGTAATTGTTCAGTATATAATTGTCGTTCTTTATTCCATAAAGATTCTAAACTCTGACAAGAAGAACAAAAATTTGTACAAGACCGAAAAATAAAAAGAAGTTTTATTTAAATTTTACTTGAAGTTGAGAACTAGTATTTTCAAGTTCCTGTAAACGTGCTATTGTTGTACTATTTGTTTCATGTACTTGACGATTTTCTTCTTCCAAAGATTCACGTTGTTCTACATAGAACGAAAAATCAATTTAGAGGGAGCATCAGATTGGTCCTGAATCCGAAAACTTTAGATCTATATCTAGTCGAATTGTACTTTATTAATTTCAATAAAATTTTCTAAACAAAATTGGAAAGTTACTCCGAAGTAGAGTACTGCAACCCGGTCGGGTACCCGAAACCGAACCGAACCGGACCATGGGTTCGGGTAATATTTTTCGGGTCGGTTCGGGCGTCGGGTTAAAAAAGAAATTTCGGTTCGGGTCCAAGTGTAAGATCAAACCCGGACCTGAACCAGCAATTAGTGACAGCTCAACTTTTCAAAATATTTTTACTATTTCAACCTGGTATTTACTATTGTCAAGGTATTGGGATAATAATTAAAGCCGATTGGATCATCACTTTTACCAAAGAGGAA